CCCACAACCCTGCACTGCCAAATCCAGGAAAGCTCCAATTTAGATCCCGCGCCTGAACCCTCAACTATCGCCTAGAGGTTTAGGACTTTGGGATTTGGGGGGCCCCAAAACCGGAAAAACACCCGAAAAATCTGTATGTTTTGAACCCCAAGCTCGACAACCTCAATCCCTCTACAACCCCAAAGGTGAACCCTCTACCCTAAACCAAAAGCTTAGCCTTTAACCTTTTTTGGGGCTACCATAAGATACTGGAGAAGTACGAACGTCTCAGCTTTCGTCGGCCTGCAAGGGCTTTCAGGAAGAGCTGCTTCTGGTCGCTGCCTTCAGGCGTGCGAGACTAGACCCAAGAGAAACCTAGGAATATATTTTTAAACTTGAAGGACTTTATAAAGGAACCTGAACCCTAAAAAAGGGGAACCTGAACCCTAAAAAAGGGGAACCTGAACCCTAAAAAAGGGGAACCTGAACCCTAAAAAAGGGGAACCTGAACCCTATCTCTGGGTCCTAGGAGAAGGTCAAGGGGCTCTCTCGTTTAACTACACCCTTCAAGCCGGCATTCGGTTTAAGGTAAGGGTTGAGGGCTTAGGCTTAGGGTTTGGGGTTAAGGGTTTAAGGCTTACAGGCTTAGGGTTTGGGGTTAAGGGTTTAAGGCTTACAGGCTTAGGGTTTGGGGTTAAGGGTTTAAGGCTTACAGGCTTAGGGCCTACAGGCTTAGGGTTTGGGGTTAAGGGTTTAAGGCTTACAGGCTTAGGGTTTGGGGTTAAGGGTTTAAGGCTTATAGGCTTAGGGTTTGGGGTTAAGGGTTTAGGGCTTATAGGCTTAGGGTTTAGGGCTTAGGGTTTGTAGGGTTTTACGGCATAGGTTCTGGGGTGTGGATTCCTAGAGATATTGCAGCAACCGCCCGCACCCTGCACAGATGTCTCCGGCATTTACCTGCAAAGCTTAGAAACCCTAAACCCTAAACAGAGTGAGTATAGTGCCCTTTACTTCGGGTTTTTTCGGGCTATCCCACGCGGGGCTCCGGTCCCCGCCAGACTTGGCAACAAATTGCCAGGTACAGTTTTGGGCCGTTTGGGGTGTGTGGTTTTAGGGTTTAGGGCTTAGGGTTAAGGCACAAGGCGCAAGGCACAAGCCTCGTTGATTTGTAGGGCTATTCGGAAACTAAAGCCCTCGCATGCCGGGTTTCTTGTGTTTCAGCTGCGGCCGTCATTGAAACGAAGTTTCAGAAAACAAGTAGCATTGGCCCTGATGTTAGATAGACCCCGGACAGAATGATCCTTACGAAGCTTCAGAAAAGTCAGCCATACTTTACATGAGCCGTAGGATCCTTGCGAAACTACAAAGACTCCCTACTAGTAGGGGAGACCCTAAGGGTGCAAGCACGCCCTGTCATCCGACTTTGGGGGGCCCTTTTTTAAGCACCGACAAGCTACTTGTCCAGTATCTTAGGGTGAACTAAACTGGTTCCCCGTTGGGGATATATTAAAGATGATCATGCTTAATCCTCATTGGGTTTTAATTTTATTACAACAAAAATGTAAAATTGTGTTCAACAAGGACCCAGTAAAGGTTAACCTTTGGGGTTGTAGAGGGATTATAGCCCCAGAAAAGGTTACAGGTCACCTACTCTACTACTAAGACAACCATAGATAAGGACTATCTGGAACCTTGGAGAGGGGGTTTCCTGGGTTTGCCTACAACACATGCCGTACCCCGGCTGTCTCATGAGTCCTTAGTTCCCATTTTGGGGTTTAGGCTTCGGGTTTGGGGCTCAGGATTTTGGATTGAGGGGTTCATAGTGAACCCTAAACCCTAAAGCGTCCAAAAGCGTGCTTCGGGTTTCAGTTCTCGGCCGGCTGGTCTTGCATAAGGTCTCCAATTTAAATAAGCATGACGGTGGAGGGGTCTACAAGGGATGCTACGAGGATTCTTTTGGGGTTCTATGTATGGGTACCGCAAATACTCTCCATGGGTACGGATTTGGAGATGTGAAGATCTGGTAGTCTCAGAAACTAACAGAACAGTAGAATCCTTAGTATCAAGAGCCCTGAACAAGGTACCACCAATTTCGAGATACTCCGGTTTGTCCCAACAAGCACTCTAGGCCCAAAATGCAGCACAAAGAGAAGAACAACTAAAGCCAAGCCTGCTTGGCGGATCGTGGGACTTAGTAAGTAAGGCTATAAGTACTGATATTGGGGCTAAGCAAATAGAAGTACAGTTACCTCAATTTATATAACCCCAGCTACTGAGACCCATGATCCTTCGAGCCCTTGCAACACTTGTAGATCTCTTATAGAACCCTTAAAGGGAGCCCAACTCTAGAACCCTACAGAACTCTAAACCCTGAACCCGTATATGTCCCTTAAAGGGAGCCCAACTCTAGAAACCTACAGGACCCTTAAAAAGGAACCCAAAGTCCCATGATCCTTTTAAGTAAAAAGAGGCCCTAATGAATAATTCGAGCAGGGTTTGGGGTACATTATACTATGTAGTTAGGGGGTTCATGGCTTAGGGTTTAGGGTTAGTATATTATGACAACCCTGAGCCCTAAACCCTCAAAGGCATCCCCGAAATAGTATTCCTGTTCCTGTTCCTGTGCGGACAATGAGTGCCCTATTCGGGCGCGTCCCAAAAATCATGCGCAAAATAGTATTGGTATTTCTTTAGCCCTCTATATCTTACTCCCTCGAGGCGCCTGCGAGTCCCGAAAGCAATTCCTGCGAGTTGACCTGAACCGAGGGTTTTGGAGTTTCGGGCTTAGGGCTTAGGGTTTAGGGCTTAAGGTTTAGGGTCTAGGGTTTCGGGGGATCCTAAACCCCCAAAAACCCTAAACCCTGAACCCAAAGTTTCAGGTTTTAGGCTTTTGGCCTGGGGGCTGTCTTTGTGTTTGAGGTTGTGGGGTTCTGGAAGCTTGGACGACGGATCGGAGAGCTAGAGGTTTAGGGGTTTAGGGGTTCAGGGGTTCAGGGTTTCGGGGTTTCGGGGAGTCCGGGGTTCAGGGGTTTACCTACCTTTGGTTAGTAGGGAATGGAAGAATGGTAGTAATGGTACTTATAATAGTTCCCATTCCTCCATTCCCTACTAACCAAAGGTAAGTTTAGGGGTTTTCTGAGGTTTCGGAGTTTGGGGGGGGGCTTTGGGGCTCCAGGATCTTCGAGCCAAGGTGCCCAGACCTTCCCAAACCCCTTAAACTAAGGAATAGACCTTAACAAAAAATATAGTAGGATCCTTGGTATGATTAATTATATGTATATTCCTTAAAAGAAAGGAGTATACCTTAAAAAAATATAGTAGGATCCTTGGTATGATTAATTTTGGGTATATTCCTTAAGATAAGGAGTATACCTTAAAAGAACATAGTAGGATCCTTGGTATGATTACTTATTCCTTAAATAAGGGACTTTGCAAGGTCAAGGTTCACGGGTTGAACGGGCTCAGGGGCGGGCTAGCGGCTAGTGCATGCAGTTTCTCGGAATGACGGAGACTCAGTTGTCGCACCCCTAAACCCTGAACCCTGCAATTTCTGAGAATGCCGGAGACTCAACCCTAAACCCAACAATCTCTGGGAATTGCGGAGGCTCAGTTGTCGCGGATTTTTCTCAAGATCCGGGCTCTTTTGGATGCCAGTGTGCCAGCCCCAAGGCGTCCTACGTACCTACATAGTAGAATAATTCAAGATTTTCTACACTAGGAATTACAACCTAAACCCAAAACCCTTAACCCTAAACCCGAAATGTATGACGATTTAGGGAAGTATCACCCGAAACAGCACCAAGGACCCTTTGGGCAGAGATACGAAAGCCTGAACCAGCGATTCCGGTCAAGACCATCAACCAATGAAGATAATTCTACCTACCCCAAGCCGCCCCAAACCTAAGTTGGAGGCTAGGTGGGTTTTTGGGCTTTTGGGTTTTAGGGTTTTGGGGTTTAGGGTGTAGGGTTTTAGGGTTTAGGGTTTAGGTCTTAGGGTCTATAGAGTTTAGGCAGCTCTAAAGCTTGTTGGCCTTTGCGAGCCCTGAACGACTTGCGGTCTAGAGGTGGACATGGAAGTGGGGAGGTGGGCTTCATTGTGGTTAACGGTGAAAGGTGTTGGAATTTGCTTTAGGGCTGTGGTCCTTCGCGGCTCCAGGACTGTCCCGGAAACTAGAACAGGTTTCGCGGGGACAACAAGGGGACTGTATGACTGATGTAGGGGCATTCATGATTAAGTAGAATAGCGTTGGGGCTCCGTTATAATATGATCATGTTAAGGAACCCTAAGGAATAGCCTTCAGTATTCAAGCCTCTATATCCACCCTGTCAGCCTCGTCGTGCATCTGCCCCTCTGCGATAGGTCTGACTGCAGCCAGATCCATTCCTGCTTCGCTTTCTTGAAGGTTTAGGGTTTAGGGCTTCGGGTTTAGGGTCCATTTCTGCAGGGAGTGCTCAAAAATAAGGGTCCTTGCCTTTATTTGGGGTCCTGCGATTTCGGGTCTACGGCAGAGTCTGGCTTTTGCCACAACTCCTTGTAATGCTGGTCATGAGTTTGTATCCCTCACTGTTCTCAGTACAATGCTCTGGCTGTCACGTGGTCTAGGAGTTTAGGACTTATGAAGACTCTTCCGTGATAGGGGGGTTCTCCGGAAGAAGTGCGATTAGAGCAAAGTGTTGGGATTCCTGAACTAGGCTTAGCTAAAAGCGTTGATGCTGAGGGCTTCGAGGTGCAGGTTCTGCCTTGGGAATGTGGAATGTCGATGGCTCTTGCTTCAAGCGGCTGGTTGATTCATTTTATTGGTGCAGGCCAAGCAATCCTTCGAGCTATCTTTGGTGCAGCATCTGCACAGCTAGTCGGTGAGACGAGGGCACTAAGGGTCCAAGTACCTAATAACCCTACCCTCTCTAAAATACTTACCTTCAGTACTACTACGACAAAAGCAAGCATCTTGTCGTGTGGTCATTTTGGACACTTAGGGTGACACCTGATTCACAGGCGCGAACTTGCTAAGATCGATCCGAACTCAGAGGTCGCACTGTGAGACAGAGCCGGCGCCGCGGATGAGGTTGAACAAAGACTTCTGGCTGTCGGTTGGCTTCGCGGAGAGCCTGGGCTGCGATCCCAGGATCACTTGGGGTTTGTATAGTTCATAATATAAATAGCCAATATGGACAGGAATTAATAATACTGATACTGATAATAATCATATTAGTTACTAGTAACAGAAGGCTTCTTGGATCCTCAGCCTTGTAAACCCCAACTCCAGAACCCGGCATTCCCAGCTTAACAGACCCCCAAACCCTAAATCCTACATCCTACGTTTTGGTTTTAAGAACCCCACACCTTGAGCCCGAAAGGAAAAAAGCATCCCAACGTCTCACCGAGAAGCTCCTGCGAGGAGTCTGCACCCCGAGATGGCGATGCCTCTCGAGCAAAAAAAGGCCCTCAATAAGTAGACTAGGATTTTGGGGTGCTATTATAGGGATGTAGAATAGGGGTTTGGGATGCTATTATAGGGATGTAGAATAGGGGCCTTAATGGTCGTAGAATAGGGGTCTTAAAGGTCGTAGAATAAGGGCCTTAAAGGTCGTAGAATAGGGGCCTTAATGGTTGGAATAGGGCCAAACTGCTTCCTCCAGGTACTGGCAGGCTTCAGACAAGGGATACCCTAAAACCCTACACCCTAAAACCCTAAACCCTGAAACCCTAAAACCCTATAAACCCTATAAGCCCTATAAACCCTATAAACCCCCAAACCCTAAAATGTGCAGCGAGGCAAAGCAGGAGCCGTGTCTCTCTCGGGCAACGGTTGTTATGCGGGTGCCCTCTGAAGTTTCCGAAAGTCGGGGAGGCTTTGAAGCTACGAGTTTATGCCTCAGTATGTGTGTATACATAGACACACATGTATGTGTGTATATGTATTGACAGATGTACACACACACACATAAAATATGCACAGATACATATAGAAAAGTAGGTGCATAGATAGACAGGCAGACAAGTAAAGACCCGAACAAATCAGGTCCCAACTCATATCAACCAAAAGCCCTAGAGACTGTTGCTCTAGAAACCCTCCTTGAACCCGGTTCAGCGCCTAGGGCTTCAAACCCCAAAAACGGACCCGGGATCCCGCCCCTACGACACCGGCCTTGTTTTGGAAGAGCTTTGGTAGCCGAGTCTCTGAGTCAGACTGGATCAGGGCCGGGTTCGATCCCTGTCGTTTCGTCTCCTGGAGGGCTTAGGGCTCAGGGTTGGGGGTTTGAGGTTTCGGGGCTTAGGTCGTCGTCGTCGTAGTAGTAGTAGTAGTAGTAGTAGTGGTAGTGGTCGTGGTCGTGGTCGTGGTCGTGGTCGTGTTATGTAGTAGTAGCAATGATCATGACAAGGATAACAATAATAAAAATACTATACTCAACATCCCCTAAACCCTAAAACCTAAGCATTAAACAATCACAAAAAAAGATACCTTTATACTCAAAATCATGATCGGCTCCTCGGAGCCCGGGCGTTGGAGGAGGAACAGCCAGTCCCAGGGCAGTGGCGAGTCTTGCAGTCTCGGAGGCACCTGACATCACAGCGGCTCGGGTTTAGGGTTTAGGGTTTAGCTTTGTTGTTGCCTTTTCTGGTTTTACGGGCCCTGTTCCTCCGCATAAGCGTCCGAATCCCATCCTCGACCCATGTGCAGTTCGCCTACACAGCCCAACCTACACCTCTCAGGCTCCTAGACCTTCCAAAATCCCTTGATTTAGGAATATACCTTACGTCATCCTAGGGGTCCTACTATGATTTTAAGGTATATTCCCCAATTACATCATATTAGGGGTCCTACTATACGAGTAACAGGTATATTCCTCAATTAAGGGATCTTGGAAGGTCTGGGTACCCTGCATCGGAATCAGCAGACACTGGCGAGCTGCGATCACTCATCAACCACAACTACCTACCCTGCGTCAAACACATCCGTCCGAAGCTGACATCCCAGTTGAGGATCTAGGGTCTAGGAGTCCAGGTTAGGGTTTCAGCCTTGGTGTCTAGGGTTCTGATTTTTGGGCAGGGCTTCATGTTGTCATCTTACTTTCAAGGACCGCTGGCGCCACTGCTGCTGCAACTGCTACTGCAACACTGCTAGTAAGGCGGGTAGGCAGGGCGGGGAGGTAGCTAGGTATGCAGGCAGGCAAGAAGGTATCGCCGTCGTAGTAGTTGTAGCAGCAACCGTGGGCATAGCTGTAGCCATAGCCGCAGCAGCAGCAGGAGGAGGAGGAACAGTAGTAGTAGTAGTAGTAGCAGCAGTAGCAAACAAAGATGCCGTGCAGCCATACTAAGAACAAGACTCACAACATAACATAATACCTAGCAGTCCACATGCTAATAACATTGACATTAACACTGCGACAATAATCGCAATCGCAACATTGCCACTGCCAAAACAGTGCCAGAGCTCCAGGTGCTAAGCCTGCATCCTTATACTCGCATCTTGGTTCCCTCAGCAGCCTGGCAGTCAGAAGACAGACCCAGCTCCGATCTCCAGCTGTACTCCACGCGCTCGCACATCTCAACCTGCGCAGAGACATCGTCTCAGTCGGGAAGAAAAGCTTCGCTCAGCCGGTGCAGCGTACGACTACAAACATGATTCTGTCACTTCACTCTGTGGCGCCAGTTGGTGCGTAACAGTCTGAATCAAAGCCCAGGCAAGATAGAAGCCTAAATTATGGCCAACACTTTTTTGGGGATTCCTTTTTATAATTCTATCATAAAAGGAGCCGACACCCTGCTCGAAATATTAAGGCCCTGGCAGCCCCAAACATCCCGGCCTGAAGCCCGACCTTCGCGGCCAGGTGCCGGAACTCCGGCTCCAGGTAGTGCTTCGTCCGAACACCCGACCTTCCTGGACTTTGAAGTAACCAAGGGGAAAAAAGTATAGACAGTTATTTTCTAATGGCTTCTTTAAAGAACAGGTCCAACAAAAAAAAGTATTCAAGTCTGGTACTCCAGAACCCAGCTTCTGAGGATGCCCTTCACTACATCGGCGCCCTCCGCCCTCGTGGGCTTCTGGCCCGCCACGCCCACGGAATAGGGGCCTTCGTACTTCTCCTCGTCGCAGCGCATGTTAACCTGGGTTCTTGTTAGGGGGATTTAAGTTAAGTTACCATACTAAGGAAACCATATTCTTTACGATAGATCCCTATTATGGTAACCAAGATAAGATCCCATAACAGGAGCCCAGCAACGTACATGGCACTCTCCCAAGCCGGAACGATGCAAAGCACGCGGCCACCAGGGCAGACAGAGCGGTAGGCGTTCCTTGCTGGCACTTGAGGAGTGGTGGAAGGATATGAGGAGTTCTATAAAGGAGTATATATATATATATATAGAGAGAGAGAGAGAGGCAACTCACCCTCCCTAAGCGCCAAACTCAAAACCCTAAATCCTAACCCTAAACCCTACACCCGTGAGCACCGGTAAGATTCAGCAGCATCCGCTGGTGCAGGTTTGGGTCGCCAGGGGCAATGAGGACGTTGGTCAGGACGGCGAAGTTGTAGGACTCCATTTCCTGGAGTTCTCGCAAACCACGCTACAACAATAAGGGTTTAGGGTTTAGGTTTTACTTATAGTCTCCATTGTAGTTCCTTTTTTGGTTTAACCAAATCCATATTAGGGATCCTAACAGGTAACCCCACAAAGAAACTACAATGGAGACTACAGGTAGGGTTTTGGTTCAAGATTTATGTAGGTCCCCATCTCCTGCGCTCTTGGGAAGCCCCAGGGAACCAGTTACCGAAACAGTGGGTTACTAACCCAGAGAGCCCAATACCCCTTAATTAAGGAATAGACCTTAAATCATAATATTAAGGCCCCGATAACTTAAGGTATACTCTCTGGGAACCATATAATTTGTACCCCAGTAACCTACTATTACAATTAGCAACAAGGCCGGGCGCAGCATTTCTGTGGCACTCCTTTTCCTGAGATGTTGTGAAGGAAATTACTAGTTACAAGACTTACTAAGGCAGGCAGGCCATGTATCATCATGTCTGTATTCTGGAGCCTGGAGCTTTTAACGACATAAGCTCCTGAGCCCTAACTAGAAGGCCCCGTAGTAAGTTAGCATAACGCTTTACAAAGCCCGCTTAAACACCCCGATGCACCCTACAACCCAAAAACCTAAACCCATAGGCCCATAGAAACCCGAAGCCCTTAATAGAACCCTGTGAATCCTTTAATAAAGGACCCTCCCCCCCCCCGCCGGGGGGAGAACCCTGAAGCGGCTAAACATGAACCCAGGATCGTTGAGGTGGCCGAACTGTGAGATGGGCTCTAGCCGATACCACACCTGCGACAAATCCCGCACGGAGACCTCAGCACTTTGAGGGGCTTTTGAGTTTGGGTTTATGGTTTAAGGTTTAGGGTTGTCGCAATCCGGGCGGTCACAATCATGTTCAGTCACACATGTTGTTACGCAAGAAAGTTTCGGCCGATGGCCACCTTAGCAGCACATACTGACAAAGACCCACTTGAAGTGGCTAGCATGGCAGACCGAGCAAATCATGCCTTCGGCCTGCATTCGCAGTAGCCATACACGGTGCATATACGCCTCCATAGCAGACTCAATAGCAAGACTAACCGTAATGCACAAGCGGTGAACTTGTCTGCTTGGTCAGTGCAGTAGCATGCTTGCTATGCTGCTAAGCCATACACGGAAAAAACACCCAATGACTATGACAACGTGGCTCCCTGAACATTCCATCCGACCCCAAGCTCCTCTGCAATCCCGAAAATGCCGGTCTCTCCAGTAATATGAGTAGTTCCCCGTTTGGGGCCTCTTCATAAAGGTGCCGTACTATCTTTGAACCTGACTTAGAGAACTACCCACATGAGATGGCCTGCACGTTTGTGATGTGGAGGTTCTTCACCTGTCACGCTCGCAAGTCATTGGATGTTGAATGCGGGGCTTTGAGGAGGCAGAGGGCCATGTCGATGCAGGCGTGTTCCAGGAAAAGCACTCCCGCAATGATGTTTCCCTGAAGCCTCCCATCTCCCCGACTTCCTCCCCATGCCCATGGTAACGCTTCCAGAAATTTGTTGATTCAAGGTACTGCGCAAGTGTCGAAATCCTGACATTGACCTTCTTCACACATCTGAGCCTCCTAAAAACTTAACAGCTCTGTGCCCTAGCAGAAGGCGTGCCCATGTCGCAGAAACCCATGCGCAATCCGTACACCTCTTTGCAACCTGTATCAGAACTTATAAAACCTTGCTAAAGACCGCACATGCCCTTTGCATGCCCTTTGACGACTTGCAAAAAAGCATCATAAAGACCTCACTCTACATGGTCCCGGCGCCTCCTTCTGTGCCAGTGCCACGAGCTTGGGGCTCAGGTCATAGGCAACCACCTCGCTCTGTGGTTGGTAGGAGGCAGTGAAGGAATGACAGGCCCACAGACATCTGCTAAGGTATCCTGCACCGCACGTATACACATGTGTGTATGCGTATATCGGTATAGATACACATGCCATCTCTCTCTCTCTCTCTACCGCTCTCTCCCCTTGATTGATATATATATATATACACATACGTACACACACACACATCCATACATACGTGATCGTTTGTTGTATGTACGCTTTCTACAGCATAACATGCTACAACATCACAACATGTAGTGTAACATATAATGGCGTAAAACAACAGACATCAATATACAACAGCACAATGCAACATACGATAATATGGTATAATGGAATAGAAAAGAACATAATATAATTTGTGTATTACGATAACAAAATGTTGACAAATCCACAATCTTCATTCTGTGCTGGCACCATCGCTAATTAATCTACGATTCCAGGCCCAAGCTTCGTTGTGCAGCTTCGCAGGTGCGGAACTGCACCACATACATACATACATACATACATACATACATACATACATACATGCATACATGCATACATACATACATACATGCAAGCTAGCGATAGTATCAAGCATGCATGCATGCATGCATGCATGCATGCATGCATGCATGCATGCATGCATGCACGCATGGATGTTACTTATACCTACCTACGGTCCTAACTACTTACTTACATACATACATACTTACCTACTTACTTGCTTCTCTTCCTTCTACTAGGCATACAATACAACACGAAACCCTGAGTAACTGAGTTGGCTCGAGGTGGCTTGCGTGCCGCAGGATTTGGGGTGCCAGGCGCTTGCGGCACCTCATTGGGGGGCCTTTTGTTTCCGGCCTCGATTTCCATACATGCGTCGACTGGGCTTGGAATATTCAGAAGTTCAATTTGTAAGACTACTCGGATTTGATGGGAGCGTACTACCCCAAGTTAATTCCTAAGTGACAATCACCCTCGCCTGCTGAAAATGCTTGGCAAGCTTGTGCAGGTACCTGGGCGATGGTGACTAGAGACAACAAGCTTTAAGGACCTTCGGTCGTACACTGCCCCAATGTGGATCTATAAACCATACTAAAGCGATACTTACACTTAAGACTTACTATGTCCGTCTAACCAGCGTGGGTTTCTCGCACTAAAGGCTACTGCCGCAGGGGATTGAAAGCCCACCCCAGTCTCAAACCAGCAAGCTCAAAGCTTAGGCTTATGTAGTTTTGAGGGCTTCGGGTTCAGAGCTTAGGGCTTTGGCTTAGCCCTAAAGCTAACCAATCGAAGACCTTGCAAAGCCCACAAGAAACCCTAAGCCTAAACCATAAACCCTAAACCGGTTGGATTGGGGTTGTAGGGTTTCAGGTCACTTTACGCCAGGATTTAGTGTTGAGATCAGCATCATCAGGTGTGTGCTCCAGTTGCTTGAATGATGGGGTAGAGGGTATTCCATTCTGTGATGTTATACTATATTATAAGTTACTATATTATTGTAGTATGCATTCATTCATTTGAATTATACATTATAATACACTATTGCATATATTCTTTATAGGGTAAGTAACCCACTATTTAATGTTCTTGGAGCCCTGTGGGGTCTTGGGCCTTGGGACTTATCGGACGATCGCGGGATGCATCGCGCTCATGCGGAGTTAGATATGAGCCCTAAACCCTAAACCCTAAAGCCCCTGAACCCCCTAAACCCTAAACCCCCTGAACCCTAAAACTTAAACCCTGAACCCCTAAAGCCCCTAAAGCCCCTAAACCCGAAAACCTAAACCGTGTAAGCTCTAGAGTTTAGGGTATAGTGTTTAGGGCGCCTCGACCGGACTACGTTTGGTTTGGGCTCAGTTTTGGGGGTCTGTAGGGGGTGGATGGTTCAGGGGCTTCAAGGCTTCGAGCTTTGGATTTCAAGGTTTATAGGGTTGTGGGTGTGAGGTCTCACGGTACTGGAGTCACAAACGTCGAGGGCGGAGATAGCGCGTGGAAGAGTGAGAGTAGCGAAACAAGCTTGGCGCTGGACCCTGGCAATCCCAGGGCTCCAGTAACCTAAATAGTGGGTTACTAAACCATATATTATGTACCCCAGCAACCTACTATTTAGCCTAGGGAATGCCCTAGGGAATGCCTGACTCTGTAGCAGCTAAAGCTCTTCAACCAGAGAGCCACGTCCGAAGACCCTTAGACATGAAGCCTTCAGCTGTCAAGCCCTTCAGCTCCCATACAACCTTACACGCACATACATGGTCTCGTGTCGCGTGTCGGTA